TCTCTCCTCTGAATACTAGAGCAATTTTTCTACCTCTTTTGTGGCAGTGTCACATTCTGTCTTGCATTTTAACTATCGAGGGGGATGCTGTTGGTGTCCCCAAGATTAAATGGCAAGTCTTTGAAGGCTTATTAATTTGTCTTACTCATTTTTTTATCTCCGGCGCCTAGCACAGTGCTATTCACATAGCAGGCACATAACTCTAAATACATTTATTAAACAAATAAATGTATATGCTGTGGATATGGAGACAAATGAGAAAGTTTCTGTCTATTAGCAGCTTACAGTCTCATGTGAGAAAGAGATGCCTAGCAATAAGAATTAATTTAGCCCTAGCCAGTTTGGCTCAGTAGCTACAGCGCTGGCCCTCGGACTGAAGGGTCCGGAGTTCAATTCCTGCCAAGGGCACGGACCTCGGTTGCAGGCTCAATCCCTGGTCCGGGTGTGTGTGGGAGGCAACCAATCGATGTGTTTCTCTCACAACAATGTCTCTCTCCCCCGCCCCGGGAAAAAATATCCTCGAGTGAGGATTAAAAAAAAGAATTAATTTAATATAAAGCCCAAGGAATAGTACTTGACCTATGAAGATATAGGGTTTGGGTGGGCGGAGGGGGAAAACATTCAGGTTGAAGGAACTGCCTACGTGGACATACATGGCACATTTTGGCAACCTGGTAAGTAGCATTGAGACTGGCATATAGGAAGCATAAAGCAAACAGGAGATGAGGCCAGAAAGGGCATTTGGGCACTGGATCATGGAGGGCCTTGTGGGCCTGTCCAAGGAATTTGGATTTTATTCTGTAATAAAATGGAATGAGGAGCCATTGAATGTTCTTGAGGGGGAGTGTGACATACACTTAGTGAGTGGAGAAATGAGTCAGCGCTGTGTTTTGGGTGGACAGCATTCTTTGGCCAGATCCATTTTAGGAAAATCTTGTGTTGAGTGCTGAGTAGGACCTATTCTCTGAGGCGAGGGATACCCTGGTCAAACCACCTCTTTGTGAGATTTTCTCTTTTAAAGAGGCCACCCCCAAAGAACACTTAGGTTGAGAAGTCTGTTTTGCCCTCTGAAACAGTGTTTCCTGACCAGTTTTCCATGGGTCCCTCCCTCTGCTTTGGCTTTAGTACAGAAATTTTTCTGTTTGGATTGTATTAGTCAGAGTTCTTCAGAGAAACTGTGTGTGTGTGTGTGTGTGTGTGTGTGTGTAATGACATTAATGTCAAGAATTGGCTCATGCGATGATTATGGAGGCTGAGAAGTCCCATGATCTATCGTCTGTAATCTGGAGACTAAGGAAAGCAGGTAGTATAAATTCCCACCTGGTGATGGGAAAAGATCAATTTCTTAGTTCAAGAAGATAGGCCGAGATACCTACCGATGCCTATTGCTTCTCATTGAAAACTGAACTTTTGAACCTGGGACTGGCTTGAGCCCCTCTACATAATTTCACCTTTGTGGAGTGGGGGTTAAGGAATGGGGGAGGGACAACATCCTATACAGAAAAAATCATAGGCTTTGGAGTGAAGTCAGTCTGGGGTTAAAGTACCCGCTGAAATCACTTATTAGTTGTATGACCTTGGCAAAGTCATTAATCTCTCTTAGCTTCAGTTTCCTTATCTGAAAAAAAGGGGGGAATAATTATGCCTATTACAAACAATTAAAGTGAAGATGAGCATCGAGATTGCCTAGCTTGCTGCCTGACACATAGGAAGAGGTGCTCAGTAAGTGGTACTTATTTTATTCATATTTGCAGAGTTAAATAGAGGCTATTGTTCTGCATAAGAAAAGGGAAGCTGTACTTGGAGTAAGCTGTTGTTTTGTGCCTTAATTTAGGGGACAGGAAACTCCTTGCCTAGATTATCTTCAGAGGTCATCCCAGAGCCCTTCTGGTGAGGGTTCCTATCTGTTTCCTTAGCCTAACTTCCACCCTCAGAGCTCTGCCCTCCTCTTCTCAGCAGCTGTGGTCATCTTTGGTAGACAGGCAGGCAGGGGCCCAGCCCTAACCGATTGAGGGCACTGTTGCAAACACTAGGGAACCAGAGACACTGTTGCAATCTGCCCTGACCTGAGGAACCCTGTGGAGAACCTGGGGCTGACCCTCAGCCCTGACAGCTGCGTGTTTTAGGGGCGAGCCTAGGTTTCTGGGTCTTCTAGAGTGATGGGAAAATTGTTAGGACGTGCTAGAGAGGTGCCCTGCTTTTCTAGAGCTGAGGTTAGAGTTTTCCCTTCAAAACCAAGAAACCCACAGTTATGGGTCTTTCTTGGAGCTGAGTGCTAAAGTGATGCCCCAGGTGCAGTGAAGAAGCACACTCATTTATGCCCTTGAGACTCGCTGTCAGATAGGAGAGCAGAGCACACACCTCTAAGGCAAGAGGGTTTGACGCATGCGCAGACCAGTGAGGCGGAAGCTGCTAGGAGGGAGGTACCAGCGCTCTGGGCGTGTGGGGTGCGGAGGTTAGGGGGAGTACCCGGAGACTGGTGGTTCAAAGAAGAGATGAAGGAGGAAGGCAGGCCAGGCAAAAAGAACCAGCCTGAGCAAAGGCTTGGAGTGGAGGTAAAAATAACATAGGTTTATAAAAACCAAAAACAACCCTGACTGTTCTTGGGTGTGGCTGGAATGCTAGGTGCTTGGAAGGTTTAGCAGAAGGGGAAAAGTAGCGTCAAATTTTGGAGACCGTTCGACTTAGGTGAGGACAGACTGACCCTGTGCTAGGAATTTTTTTTCAACAAATAGTTGTTGGGTAACTATTTCGTGCCAGATGTTCTGGGCATTGGGAAATAGCGGTGAACATTCAAATCAAGCCTTCTCTGAGGGTAATCTCCACATTTTACAAAAGAAGAAATTGAGGGTCAGCTTGACTCCAGCTGGTGGCTCCTCAGGGGCCTTTGTGGACCGAGGGCAGAGTGGCTCTGGGCCGCTCCTCATAGGTGCCAGCGCACGTGGGTGGGCCCCCTTGTCCCCAGTCTAGCTGCGCGCGCCACCCGGGCCTCTCCACTGCCCCGCCCATCTGGGAGCCAGCCCTCAGCTCGACCCACACGTGGGATCCCGCACGTCCGCCCCGCTTCCCCCTGACGTCAGCCCCACTGTTCCATTTAAGGCCCCTCCCGTGCGAGGCTCCAAGTATTGGAGCCGCTGCCACCGAGTCCGGATCCTCGCCGCGCGCCACCGACGCCCGCCTGCAGCACACTCCCGGTACTGTAGGGCCCGGCGCGCTCTGCGCCGCATGGGGCGGGCGAGCGAGCTGTCCCGGGCCTCTTTGGCCCGGCGCTACCTGTTACTCCCTGGGGATTTAGGTGCTACTTCCCGGGAGCATAGTCGGGAGACCTGTCGGTGGCCCCCGCCCGGCATGGGCGTGGATCCCGCCGCGCTCTGCTTTTGCTCTAAGTGAGCACTGTGGCCTCTGGGCTGCCTGGGAACCAAGGAGGTGGCCGCACCTAACCTCGGGCGGAAACTCCAAGTTGATGCAGGACAAGGAGATGACGGGTCTAAAAGATGGGGGCATACCTCTGGGCTGGAACTTGGCAAACGGCGCTGAACTCGAGGTCCGATTCCCGGACCCCATGGAACCGGAAAAGACTTAGCAGCCTGGGCGGGTTCCTGGAAGCCGGAAAGCCGCTGAGCACCACCTTCCCAGGTCGCATTTTAGCCCTAGGACTCTCGAGAGGTGGGCTCTCTGGGAGCCGCCGCTGCCTGTAGATTATAGGGCGCTCTTTGCGCCAATTACATTTATTAAGTAGCTACTGATGTATCTGTCGGGCGCTATGCTAAGCACGGTGCATACAAAGATGAGCTGGAAGGGTGTCTCAGCCCTTCCGCCTTTCAGACGGTCTATTGAGAGGAGAATCATCCGGAACCGTCCCCTTCTTTTGACAAATGGGGGAACCTAAAGCTGAGAGAGAGTTGGGGCATCTCTAAGGTCACAGTGGGTGACAGAGTTGGGGAGTAGACCCTCTTTCTGCAGAGCTCCTCTCCCACACGTGTCCCCCCATTGAAGGGAGCGCTGGAGTCCAGGGCTTGGTTTGGTGAAGCCAGGAGGTCTCTGCTGGAAGAATTCCTCCCTTCTCCCTGCCAGGCAGCAGAAATCTTACTAAGCTGTCTAGAAATAGCAGTGATTTGTAAGGAGAGACCCGATCCCAGCTTGGCGACCCTGGGCTGCTTGCCTGTAAGCCCTCTCGGATATTTTTGCACTTTGGGACGCTGTCAAAACTAGATCCAGTGAATGCAGTGCTGGGTCGGATTAACAGAGTCCAAGGTGCGTTCCCTCTCCAGCTCTGGATATGGGGGTTCCATCAAGTATTAACCCTAGGATTCCTGGCCTCAGGCCTCTTAACGCTATTTCTGCACTTCCTGTACTGACGAAATTTCCTCATACCGGGCCCCTCGCCTTTGCAACAAAGATCACAGCAGAAGCCACACCAGGCACCTCCGTCCGGGTTGGTTTAGAGTCTCTGGTATTGGGATTTAAAGTCTGGCTCTGGCCGTGCGCCAGGCCCAGGAGGCTGCCAGCCGGGCTTCACGCGCTTCTCGCGTGCTCCCGAGCACTAGCTAAGTCTAAAGCCTGACTCCGAGCTGGCGCCCTCTGACCCCAAGGGCAGGATAGTTCCTAATCTTTTCTGATCGCGGGCGGGGCCGGTGCCTACCTCTCAACAGGCAGCAGCCCCTAGACCACGCCGGTCCCCTCCCAGCAGCTCTGAAATGCGGGGCGCCCCGGAGTAGCGGGAGGGTGGTAGGGGAGGGGGCAGCCGCTAACCTTCCGGGTTTGGGCGGGTGATAGAGCCCGAGGGCTCCGCGGGACCCAGGGGTTGGTCTGGTCCCCTCCCCTTCGGGGGCGGGGAAAGGAGCGCGCATGAGCAGAGCCCGCGGCCGCCGCGCCGCGCCGCTTGGGGGAGGCAGTTAGTGGCACTTTTCGCTGCACCTCCGGTCTTGACGCGAGGGCCTTGGCAGGAGCCGGGTGACTGCAGTAGACGGCGCGTAGTGATCTTGTTTAAGGAAAGGCCTGCCCAGCTTGGGGTCAATAAAGCAAGATGAGTGAGCAGGCAGGAGGCTATACTTACACCCAGACGTCGATATTATTTTTCCATGCGAAGGTGAGGGTCCTCACACCAAGGTCCTAGCCAGACCCGACTCTGGCCTTAGGCCTTTCAACTCCCCTTTGACTATCTTTAGGGTTTTTCCCCCTTCCCCTTTTTAGGCATCCCTGTGATTTTTAGGGGCAAGTACCTCAAACAGAAGTGCAATAAGCTTTTCCAGAACGTGTTTTGGTTAGTAAGTGTTAAAGAGGGTGCAATGACAGCGCATGTTTTCCCCCCCCATAGATTCCTTTTGGTTCTAAGTCCGGTATGGCAACTCTCAAGGACCAGCTGATTGTGAATCTCCTTAAGGAAGAGCAAAGCCCCCAAAATAAGATTACAGTCGTTGGGGTTGGTGCTGTTGGCATGGCTTGTGCCATCAGTATCTTAATGAAGGTAAGTGAGAGTCTATCACTCTGAAAGCCAAGGATACCAACCCCACCCATCCCTTCACTCCCTCCCTAATAATTGCATTATAACAACGTATATACAAATATTGAGGTTCATACACCCTTTCAAAGAACTTTATGCTGTACCAAAAGGGTATTGGAACTAAAAAACAAAAAACCAAAGGTTATTAGGCTGGCAACGCAGTTTCTTAAATTCATTGTGCTGTATTAACATGCATACGTTGCCTACAAATGAAAGAGTCCCTGCCTTTAAATAAGCTAAAGTTATTTTAAAGTAATTTTTGAAGGGAAATGGTATATATACTATGGTAAAATGAAAATCACACTGATGTGGGAAATCTATTTTGTCAGCAAAGGGGATGGATGCTTTAAAATTTTTTACTATTTACTATTTTAATATTTTATTTAAAAATTTTTTAATTTAATTTTTTATTTTTATTCTTTTGAAAAGTCTTGCTCCCATGCAAATCCCCATTGGCCCCCTCCCTGGATAGCAATTTTGGGACCTGTTATGGAGGCTAAACTTTAATTAGAAAAGAACTTGTGAATGAATAAAGAACACTTTTTACAGTAGTCAAGCCTGGTTTATATAAAACAGAAATTGAGGCAGCTTACAATATTAAAATATTTTTAAGTTCAGATTTGGAGTTCCTAGTAAGAGTGATTGAGTGGCAGACACACAATGCAATATACAGATCATGAATCATAGAAATGTACACTTGAGACCTATATGATCTTATTAACCAATGTCACCCCAATAAATTTAATATAAATAAATACAGAGTGAAATGATGAATTCTGGGTTCTGAACAGAAAAGGATTGAAGTGAGAAGGGACTGAAAGCAGAAATGAGCTATCCAGAGGTTGCAGAGCAACACAGTTGCTTTGTGTTCTTAGGAAAGGCCGGTTTACCAACTCTTATTCCTTCCCCCACTGAATCAGAAATTGATACCATCGGTTTTTCCTACACCACCTGTGGTCTTTTTCAGTGATGCTCTCTATTTAGGTGTGGGTAAGAGCATCTGCTAGGCCACTCATTACACTATAGATGATTTGGGGGTAGATCTGCAGCTCAGCCAGGACAACCTCTTTGGTTATGACAGTCCACATCTCATTTGTATTAAAACTATTGTTGGTGCTCCTGGTCTGAGATGCACCTAACAACTTTTATAGGTTGAACTGAAAGGATATTTTTCACTAATATTTTGAAATGCACAAATCTATGTGTGTAAAATTGTTATAGTTCATTAATATATGGAAACATATAACCAGGGAATGATCTGGAATATCACTTTTTAATTTCAAGTCTTAATACTGGTCAATATGACCTATTTAGTGAATAACAACCTAAAATCAGTATGTAAAACTGAATTTGAAAGAGTAACTGGATCACTTTTACATAATTGGAGATTATTCTAACTACTACTAATCCAGTGTTCTGTTTTCATGTATGGGTGGTGGAGCCCTTGCAGAGATTACTCCAGTGAGGAGAGAGGGTTGGAGAGAGGGTCAGTGCTTCTTCCTATGTATGGGACATCTGTGAGTCAGCTTCTAAGTGGGGGCCTGCTCCTGTGTGAGAAATATGGAAATTTTGCAGGCCCAACTAAAAATTTGGAAGTTTGAATTTTTTAAAATTTTTTTTGTAGTTGAAAATGTTTTATTTTTAAGATGTTACCTTTGGAAGCAATTTTGACTTAACTAAAAATTTTGTCTTTTAGGACTTGGCAGATGAACTTGCTCTTGTTGATGTCATGGAAGACAAATTAAAGGGCGAGATGATGGATCTCCAACATGGCAGCCTTTTCCTTAGAACACCAAAAATTGTCTCTGGCAAAGGTTAATTTCAACAAGTTTATATTGTAGTCCCTGCTAGACTTAATTCCTTATCAGGCTCAAAATCCTATCTCTTCCAACACTTCTTTTTTATACAGGATAAGAGAGCCTTGGAACAATTTTGCCTCCTTACCTACTAATATAGAAATTTCAATTTCAAATGGTTTAAATGGAAATTCAGCTTGTCAATAATATAGAAAGTATCTGAATTAGAATGTAATTTGTAAAGCTCCATAGGTCCATGTTTAACCACACTGCTTCAAATATTTAAATTAAATATATTTCCTTTCCCTACTTCCTTTTGCACACTAACGTAATGTTGAGATTAGGGTAATTGAACCTGTTCAGCCTGCTCTTGGCTTGACTCTTTTTCACTTAATGAGCACCCACTAGCAGACCTGGTCATGGACTCAAATAGTATCTGCCTTGTCACTTGAAAATCATTGACCACTTATCGTATAGGTGACTCTCTTCATTATCTTCATCCCTGGCTTAACTGTCCTGTGCCACAGGGATCAAGAAGCAAGGTGTACTTGACAAGTGTAAAGCTGCTTCTGCTTTATTTATTAATTTAATTTTTTATTTTTGTTTTAAAATATTACAGATGTCCCTTTTTCTCCTCATTGACCCATTCCTCCCCTCCCACATCCCTCCACAGTCTGTCTCCACACCATTGTCCGTGTCCTTGGGTTGTGCATGTATGCATATAAGTTCTTTGGTTAATCTCTCCCCCTCCACTCACCTGCCCTCCTCCATCCCTTTGAGATTTGTCAGTCTGATCCATACTTCCAAGTCATTGAATCTATTTTGTTCATCAGTTTATCAACATAACTTGGAGTGGTTCTGTTTCCCTGATCGTTGACAATTATTTCCACTTTTCCATGCTGGAAGACACCCACACAAGAGTAGGTGGTGCCAAGATCAATGCCAATTGCAGGTCCCTTAGACATGGTTGCTTGAGTGTATGCCCGGCTTGTACAGACCCGACCAGAACAGAAACCCTCGCATTCAATGAGCTGTCTCTGCTTTTTTTTTTTTTTTTTTTAAAAAAAGGCTTGTTCCTGGGCTGATATGACCACAATTAAGTTTAAATTTAAGTAGAAACAGGAGTGTGGAAGATCATGCACTTTGAGCTCAGGTGGACAAAAATTTGGCAATGTACTTCATTTGATATGAGAATCAAATAAGTTTTATTCCTTCCAGCTCTCCCCAGTAGTAGTTGTATAAAGTCACAATGTGACTAAAACCAAAATACAAAGGAGGCATTGATGTACTCTTCCTCCATGTACAGGGGCACAGTGATAAAACTCCAAAAACTAAAGGAGAGGAGTCTGGGGGTATTAGAGACATTTTTCTGCCACATACACAAACCATATAGGACTATCCTCCAAAAGAAGTTTATGGAAAAAACTGTTGCTGGCTAGGTAATGGAGGTCTCTTAAAGGCCTTAACCTGATTATTGTTTTCCTTTGTCTAGACTACAGTGTGACTGCAAACTCCAAGCTGGTTATTATCACAGCTGGCGCCCGTCAACAAGAGGGAGAAAGCCGTCTTAATTTGGTCCAGCGTAACGTGAACATCTTTAAATTCATCATTCCTAATGTTGTAAAATACAGTCCCAACTGCAAATTGCTTGTTGTTTCCAATCCAGGTGAGGTTTTTAATTGTATAAAAATAGATGAGCTAGAGTAAAACTGAGAGTATGTATTATATTCTATATACACATAGTTATTTCTCATCTTTCACTTTCCTCCTGGGAGTGGATTTGTGTTTTTTGTAAAATAGTTAAGTTTAAAACATGAAAGGTAATAGGATACACCTTTCTGAATGTAGTTGGAACTTTAAAATTAGTTACTCGTGCAAGAAGATCTCGGATAAGGGGTAAGTTTGTGGATAATGTGTATTCTCTTGATGTAGTTTATTTTCATTAAACTGCATTTCTTGAATACTTAATAGTTTTGCTATATTATACATATTATAAAGGTTTAAAAATATTAACAAAGCCCTGGCCAGTTTTTGTGTGTTTTTTTAAAAATATGTCTTTATTGATTTCAGAGAGAGGAAGGGGGAGAGAGGGATAGAAACACTGATGATGAGAGAGCCATTGATCGGCTGCTTCCTGCATACCCCCTACTGGGGATCGAGCCCATAATCTGGGTATGTGCCCTGACCCAGAATCAAACTGAGATCTCCTGGATCATAAGTTGATGCTCAGTAGCTGAGCCACGCTAGCTGGGCAGCCCTGACTAGTTTTGCTCAGTGGCTAGAGTATTAGCTTTTAGACCGAAGGGTCATGAGTTCAATTCCTGGTCAAGGGCATGTACCTCAGTTGCAGGCTCTTTCCCCAGCCTGGGTCAGGGCATGTGCAAGAGGCAACCAATCAATGTGTCTTCACATTGATGTTTCTCTCTCTCTCCCTCCACGCTCTCTAAAACACACACACACACACACACACACACACATCATTATCAAGATCCATATAGAGCCATGTATCTTTTTTCTCTCTCTCTTGAAAATTTTATTTGTCCTTAGGAAAGGGAGGCAGGCAGTCTGTGCCACCTGCTGAGGGTGTCACAACCCTCACTTTCCCATGGCCATTGGTGGGGAGGTTCATGTGCTGGGGCGAGGCCAGGAAGGCCTTGAGCTTGGGCTAGGCACTGAGGTGAGCCAGGAAGGCCAAGAGCAGGGGGAAGGAGTCCAGGCAGCGGGTGGCCAGGACCTACTGAAGCAGCAGCAAGTCCGGCAGGTTGTCGTCTGCAAAGATCATCATGTTACACACAGTGAAGGCCTGGCCCCCCTGGTTCTGGGACAGGTCTCAAAAGACTTCAGGTGCCTAGGCAGCTCCTTCACATAGTCCTCCTTGCCTGCCCCAAAGTTGGTGTAGATGAGGGTGATGTATTTGCAGCAAGATCCTCCATGCTGTCATTCACCGTACCTACCAGGGTTGCAACCCAAAAGCCCTTCCCATACAGCCCAAGGGGAGCAGCTCAGGTGTTGCAGGATGTCATTGGACTGGTACAGAGTTCCGACCTAGAACTTGGGAGCTGCCCCTACAGATAGGAGGCCTTGAGCGAGCCCTGTAGCAGGTCCCCTTGGTCACCACCTCCACCTTCCAGCTCTGGTGCTGGTCAGTCAGCAGCATGCGGTGGCCTTGCAGCACCCTTCAACAGAGAAGTAGATGATGGTGGAGGTATAGACAAAGGTGGTGGCGGCGGTGGGTGTGGTGGCGGCACCGGCAGCAGCAGACTGCAGGCGAGCCTCCACCATGTATCTTGAATAGCCAATCATCTAATGATTCACCCAGTATCTTTGCCTAAATGTTTTCTTCATAGTGGACATCTTGACCTATGTGGCTTGGAAGATAAGCGGCTTTCCCAAAAACCGTGTTATTGGAAGTGGTTGCAATCTGGATTCAGCCCGGTTCCGTTACCTAATGGGGGAGAGGCTGGGAGTTCACCCATTAAGTTGTCATGGGTGGGTCCTTGGGGAACATGGTGACTCTAGTGGTAAGTATAACTTATTTTCTATTTTTGTTTTCAAAAAGATGTGTAAAAAATTGGCAGTTTTATTAAATCAGAGCCTAAATCAGATATCCCTTCATCAAGGTAGAATGATTTCCAGAAATCTACTTTTGGTATAATTATATGCTAAGAATTGTTAAGATTTTAGCCATCCTCTGTGACATTTATCTGGCATACAGGATGGGGAATGAAATTTTACTTCTTACCATGGACACATTAAATAAGATAGTAGTTCTTAGGATGAGCTCAATCATTTAATATCATAGCTGTTTATACTTGACTTGCACTGTTTGGCCCTGAACAGGTCAGCCAAGTCAAATGGAGAGGATGAAAAAATTCTATTATTATCACAGTTGAAAGGTATAATTTTTGCAGAGTTCTCAGTTCCTTAGGCCAAGATAATCCCCTTATGATTTTATACTATCTTTATATTTCAAATATATATGGATTAAGCATCCCAATAGGTTAGGAAAGTAGATTAGAATATTGCAGAAATTCTTAGTTTTATACAATCTAAACAAAGGAAAATCTAAAAGTAAGGGCATTGGTAGTCGAGTATCTACCAAAAAGGGGTACTCCTCCCCAGATAAAAGAGAATAAGGGTCAGAATTACTAGTCTGCTGGCTGGTGCATGGAAATAAATGTATTTTGTACTATTTCTTTTAGTGCCTGTATGGAGTGGAGTGAATGTTGCAGGTGTCTCCCTAAAGAATCTGCACCCTGATTTGGGCACTGATGCAGATAAGGAACAGTGGAAGCAAGTTCACAAACAGGTGGTTGACAGGTAATATGTCTCATAATTTGGCCACAGAGAAGGTTAAATTTGATTATTTTTATTTAAAAGATTAAAAGTTTAATAGCATTTGTATTTGAGTACTTTTTGTTAGACAGAGAACTTATTTTCTAAAGCCTTGCTAGAGATCATACTATAAAAATAGGTAAAGATATTAAAAACTATAGACATTAATGCTACAGTCTATCTTTTGCCATAATTCCCAATTTATATTATGATAAATCTTTCTGGGCTTATATTATAAACTACTGAGATACAACAAGTTAGATTAAGTCTACCCTATTTGAGATTCAGTCTTTACTTCAACAGCATATATGGTTCATTCATTTCGGAATAAGACATTTTAAATCCAGGTTCCTTTTATAGTCTTCATGAGTAGAAGCACAGCTAGTTTTTTATTCAAATGATTATACAGTTTTAAGTAATGTCTAGAGTCATAATGGTATTAAAAGTGTAAATACTTATTAACTATTTGTAAAATAGGGAAGTTTTCAACTTGGTGACATTATTTAACCTAAAAATCATGGGATCATGTGTGGACCTCAAGTCTATAGAACTGAATAATGAATCATGATTAGTCTAGGCAAGGCGCTCTTATTTGTATCCGTTTAGTTAAATAAAACCTGTGAACACACTACCCAACCCAAGAAACATTGACAGTAGCTATCAACTATTTGTAGTGTTTGTTGGGTCAGGATTACTAGTCTGTTGGTGCAAGTTTGTGGCATTACTCACTATGAAGCACATGTTCAGTGAAAGCTTTGTATTTTTTTTGTTTGTTTCTCCTACCTTACTTTTTCCTGACCTTCCCTGTCATTCCCTACCCTTCCCTACCCTACAGTGCTTATGAGGTGATCAAACTTAAAGGCTACACATCCTGGGCCATTGGCCTATCTGTGGCAGATTTAGCAGAAAGTATGATGAAGAATCTTAGGCGGGTGCATCCAATTTCCACCATGATTAAGGTAGGTCTATGTAATGATATGTTGTCCTTAACTGCCATTATTTCCTGTTTTTTTAAAAAGATTTCTTCTAAGAAAGCAATTAGATTAATGCAATTCCTCAGTCATTGACTTAAGAAATTAATGTGCCTGCAACTTTCTTTTTTGAAAAACATGGTTGAGCCTTAGGATTAATGTCCACTAGCACTGTGTTCAGCACATAGATACTTTATAACTTGTTGACTAAAAAACTATTCAATTATGTTGAGATGGGTGGAAAACTATAAAAGAAACAGATTTTCTTCCTTTGGGAAAAATGGAAATCACACTCAAGGTAGAGTTACCAAAGTGTTACACAATAAAAATTGGAAAGTACTGTGGATAATAGCAATAGTTTAGATTTTTTTAGAATGGAAATCTTTTTTAAAACATTTTTTAATTTAAATCTTGGGAGACCCCAGAATGCATAGAAAAAACATAAAATATTTTTCATTTTGTATTCAGGGTCTCTATGGAATAAAAGAAGACGTCTTCCTTAGTGTTCCTTGCATCTTGGGACAGAATGGAATCTCAGATGTTGTGAAGGTGACTCTGACACCTGAGGAAGAGGCCCGTTTGAAGAAGAGTGCAGATACACTTTGGGGGATCCAGAAAGAGCTGCAGTTTTAAAGTCTTCTAATGTCATACGCCCTCACTGTCTAGGCTACAGCAGGATTTTAGCTGGAGATGTGCATATTGTCCTTTTTATCCGATCTGNGAGCTGCAGTTTTAAAGTCTTCTAATGTCATACGCCCTCACTGTCTAGGCTACAGCAGGATTTTAGCTGGAGATGTGCATATTGTCCTTTTTATCTGATCTGTGACTAAAACATCAGTTTCCTAAAGATAGAAATAGTAATGGCTCATAAAACCCTGCATTTGCATCCTGATGCCGGATGGTATTTACCTTGTGTGGTCCTAAACTGGTTAGTATGAAATAGTTCCACCTCCTGAAAGGCACCACTGCCAATGTTGCGCACATTACAGTTGCCCTTCAAACTAGATGTGTATTCACTGTGTTATATAACTGTGGTTTCTTTATTGAACACGCTGAGTCCAACTTTTTTTCTCTAATCAGTCACATCCTGGGATCCAGTGTAAATGCAATATTGAATGTCTTGTGCATAACTGTTCCAAGAGATCTTATTCTGTGTAACATATGTATCAGATTAGTGTACACTGCCATATAATGTAAAGAGAAAAGTCTACATATAAATAATACAGCCAGCTATCCAAGTGTCATACCAACTAAAATGCCAAATAAACCTTGAACAGTGACTACTCTGTTAATTTATTGAGATATAAAGTCATAAAGCTACTATTTATTACATTATTGGGAGCTATTAGGTTATTCTTGGGTAACTCTGCAATGATTTTATTTATTTATTGGTTAACTTTAGAGACAGAGAAAGGGAGAGAGAAACATCAATTTTTCCACTTATTTATGCATTTGTTGGTTGATTCTTATAGATACCCTGACCCCCACAACCTTGGCAGAGAAGGACAACGCTCTAACCAACTGAACTGCAATGATTTTTTTAAGGAATATTATTTACTATTGATCAGACTTTAACATGAATTAATATATTAAGGCTGGCCAGTGTGACTCAAATTGATTAGGTTAATTTTTTAAAATAGATGTTTTGATTTTTAGAGAGAGAAACATCATCGCTTAGCTGCCTCCTGCATACCCCCTACGGGGGTCAGGGGGCAATCCTTGGCATGTGCCCTGACTGGGAATCAAACCGATAACCTCTTGGTTCTTGGGTCAACGCTCAACCGCTGAGTCACACTGGCCAGGCTGATTAAGTTATTTTGGTACCATTAGCATTTTAATCAATTGTTTTAATATACTATGCCCCAAGGTATTAAGGAACTTGATAATAGTGCTAATCATAATTGTACCCTACAATTCATGTAGATAACATTACACAGTAATGTAAAAACACTTTTGCCAACTGAACATAATCAATGGTAGTTTGCCACTACAGGGGAACACAGATATTTAATAATCTTTGCTTTCTGGAGGCCAGTAACATAATGGCACAGTAGTTCCCCCTTATCCATGGGAGATACATTCCAAGACCCTGAATGGATGCTTGAAACCACATATAGTACCAAACCCTATGTATACTGTGTTTTTTATCATACATATGGGATATGATAAAGTTTAATTTATAAATTAGGAGCAGTAAGAGATTAAGAAAATAGAACAATTATAACAAAGACTAAAAAGATGAATGTGGCATTAAGTCACGTAAGGGTTACTTGAACACAAGCACTGAGATATAGTTGATCTGATAACTGAGATGGCTTCTAAGTGACTAATGGGCGGGTAGTGTGCACAGCTTGATAATGACAAAGGGATGATTCATGCTCAGGCGGGAGGGAGGGGATGGGGATGATGCAAGATTTTATCATGCTACTTAGAATGCTGTACAATTTAAAATTTATGAATCGTTTATTTCTGGAATATTCCATTTAATATTTTCAGACTGCAGTTGACCATGGGTAGCTCTGGAAAGTGAAACCATGGATGGCGGTGGGGTGAGGTGCTGTACTTACTAATTTTAAACCAAATAGTCCTGATGGTTGTCTACTCAAAATTTTTCTTTAGATGTCTCTCAAAATATTTCCATAACTGACCCATATCCAGGCCTAAAATCTACACTTCCAGAGGTTAACTAGAAAAACTTCATTGTCATCACTTCTCTAGGATCTTTTCCCAAAATTTCCTTCCTGAGAACTAGTTAAGTGAAAGAATTAGACTTTTTTTAATGTGTCTTAAATGTGAAAGGACAAGACTGACTTATATAGTCTCCACAATTAACAATTACAGGATTTGCTTTCCTATAGGCTCTAAAAAGACAGCTTTAAGATATAACTTACCATAAAATTTACTCTTGAAGTATATGGTTCTGTGGATCCACATAATTGTGCATTATCACCACTATCTAATCTTAGGACTTTTTAATTTCCCAATAAAGAAATGCGTACTTATTCCTACAGCCTTTTAAGTTAAGCACCTTCAGTCTTTTTTTAAAAAAATGTATTTACCTTTTTAAAAATATATGTATTTTTATTGATTTCAGAGAGAGGAAGGGAGAGGGAGAGAGAGAGAAACATCAATGATGAGACAGCCCAGCTACGAGTGGCTCAGCGGTTGAGCATCAACCTAAGATCCAGGAGATAGCAGTTCGATTCCTGGTCAGGGCACAAGCCTGGGCTGCAGGCTCGCAGCCGATCAATGACAACTCTCTCACCATTGATGTCTCAACTCTCTCTCTCCCTTCCTCTGAAGTCAATAAAGATATATTTAAAAAAATAAAAATGATGAGACAGAGTTGTTGATGGGCTGCCTCCTGATTGTTAAACTTTTATAAATTTTCAGCTTTAATCTTGTTAAGCTTCCTTGCTTTCTGACACAATAAGTGTTCCAGGTACACCGTGTATCTTTCTGCCCCAGGCAAGGAATAAGCCAACTCTGCAAGGAGCCCGGAGTCTTTTTAATGGAATATGATCTCATTTTAGTCTTAATACCTTGGGAAGTGGATTAAGCAGGCTTTAGTCCCCATCTCACGTTGCAAGTTAGTGGGGGAAGCAAATGGAATGTTCAGAACATGGTCCTTCCGTATAGATAGGCGTGTGTGTGTGTGTGTGTGTGTGTGTGTGTGCGTGTGTGTGTGTGTGTGTGTGTGTGTACAGATATAGATATTTCTTTCCCANTAAGCAGGCTTTAGTCCCCATCTCACGTTGCAAGTTAGTGGGGGAAGCAAATGGAATGTTCAGAACATGGTCCTTCCGTATAGATAGGCGTGTGTGTGTGTGTGTGTGTGTGCGCGCGTGCGTGTGTGTGTGTGTGTGTGTACAGATATAGATATTTCTTTCCCACTACAGCCTATGTTGAGAAAATAAAACCACCAGGACTTCAAAGCCATCTTCTTTCAAATTCTTTGCTGAGTGCCTACCATACTTCAGTAGATGTTGGAATATGCAAGACAAATCTTGGCTCTCTTGTATTTACATTGCTGCAATATAAGAAAATGGTAAATTAGCTTGGATTGCAGCCACAAGAGAACCCACTCACGCAGAGAGGATGTCAAGCTCCTGCCAATGCCCTTGGGCCTTGGGCAGGTATGAATGAAGAGCCTTTCTTCAGGTATAGCAGGAGTTTGGTCACTACCAGATAACTCCTTAGGCCAACAGGGGCATGAAGCAGATGTAGAGCTTGAATTTGGAGGTCATCCAGGCCAGCAGTGCCTCCCTCTCAGCCCAGTGGTAAATGAGGTACAAGGGCAGGGAGCTGCTGTCGAAGGAAGCACGCAAGTAAGTGGTACTACAAGACCAACAGTGGCTGCCACTCCTGTCTACTATGGAACCTCTTGCTTGGGGCTGGCAGTAGGTTGTTAAAGTGCCATAAGGAAAACAGGAGATTTGTAGGGAGGTGGTAGTTGATACATTAGTCCAGGAAAGCTAGAGAAGTGACATTTATGCTCAAAACTGAAAATGAGCAATCAACTTTGAGAAGGGCTAGGGGAGAAGTTTCCAGATACAGGGAACAGCAAAAAGTCCTGAGCCTAGAAGAGCTGTCAAAAGCTGGGGAGAATGTGACGAGAGAGTTTTAAGATGAAGTTGCAGAATAGGAGGCCAACTTTTGAATGTCTCTTAGGTTGTAAAAATTGGTTATTTTTTCCTTTTTTAAAATTGATTTTTAGAGAGAGAGGAAAGGAGGGAGAGAAACATCAGTGGGCTGCCTCCTGCACACCCCCTACCAGGGAATAGAGCCCGAACACAGGCATGTGCCCTGACCAGGAATCAAAACCACAACCTTGCAGTGCACAGGATGATGCCCACCAAGACATCAACCAGGGCAAAACTGCAAATACAGCCTGGCCAGTGTGGGTCAGTGGTTATTTTAAGTGTAACAGAAAGCTATTCAAAGATTCTAAGCAGGGTTATTGCATGATCTGAACTACATCAGAAACCAATCATAGGCTTTGATACAGAAAATGAATTACCCTTTAATTTTGAAAAGGATTCAAATGCAAATAACAAAAAAATAACAGAGGAAGCTGTGTCCCCTTGTGTGAGTTATAAATTCTTGGTATAAATTAAAATCACCCTAAGAAAACTAGACATGGCCTTTCCTTTTCATTATTACCCTCTGTTCTCGCAAGGGGAATTCCAACATTATTTCTGCACTCCATCCTGAAGTTACCGAGCTTCATAATAATTTTTAAAATTCCTGTAAATGAATACTTGGACAAAGGTGTGATAAGAGCATAAAAATGTATGTTCCCCAAAGTCAGGGTGGTCACTCGCAAGCCCACACTTTACTTAAATCTCTTTTCACCCTCGGGGCCCAGGTCCCCTTAGCATGCCCCTGGGCTCCACTGACGCGCTTCCCAAACTAGTTGCCCATTTTTGATCTCACTTCAACCAACCACTGTCACCTCCGGAACTGGAAGCAGTTTCCGCAGGATGCAGTTTTAAGCGGGCACCACCCTAAGAACAGGAGGCGCTCCTAGGAGGGTTCTTCTCCATGGGGGCCTGGAGCCTGGCCCTGTGGCTGCGGGGTCTCCAAAGAAGTCATGGCCCTAAAATCAGTCCCAGGCCTAGGCCGGCGGAAGGAAACGAAAGAACACTGCAATAACCTTTCTCGCACACTCTTCAAGACCGCCTCTAATTCTTCACCCGGACGGCACGAGGATG